TTATGTGGGCATATTATGTAGGTAATATTTTACAAAAAGTTTCATTTTCTATAGTTTAAATAAAAAATATCGGCGTTATTAATTTCTGTGATATTTCTCGGAAGTGATAACACTAATCGACTCGACTGAACAGAACTTATTGTAAAATAATATCTATATAAAAACATTGTTAATAATAGTATATTATTCAACGAGCATGTAATGATGGCTATTACTCACGATGATGAAGTTTGCGACACGAGCCGAAGGCGAGTGTCGTAATTCCTCAGAGTGACCTTTTCTACGACCTTTTTTTGTTTTAATTAGAAAAAATATATATAATTATTAACTACTCGAGATTAAAATTATAATTTACAAAAATAAATTTTGTTTACCAATACTCATAGTACTCGGCTGAATAATTGGTAGCTTATTATTAGCAATGCTGTCTAAATTATGTATTGTAAAAACACAACAAGAAATAGTCAATTCAAGTTATATTCATTTCCGAAAAATTATAAGTATAAAGTACCTACTACTATTATTGTAATAAATAGGAAATGGCTATTATCGGTGAACATATTTTAAATAAAAAACAGGTGTGGCAGTTTAGTGGGACTGCTGGTAGAAGTTATACCTCTATACAAGAAGTTACAAATTTATTATTACATATGTAATGCTATAGGTAAGAGAGAGAGCAGAAAGAGAAACAGAATTGGGTATATAGGTATATGGTGCATCGTTTCCTGTATATATACAACATTTGACCTGTAATAAAAGTATAGTAAATGAAGGATTATTTTGATGAAAATATATATTTTTATTTTCATATAGATATGTATAAAAGGAGTTGAATGCAATTTTTTTTACACAGACTCTGCAGTAAAATTCATTGTTTATTTTGTTATTAATGAAAAATACAATACAATACACTGCAACATAATTCAATATAATAATACAATTTAAATTAAAATGCAACATCCATAAGTATTTAAAAATGACAATATACATAACTTACTTATATAAACTTGTAAATCTTAAATATATTTACAAAAGGAACATTTTTATTCTCGAGAGAGACAGAGGGAGACAATATATCTTCTGTCTCTCTTTTATCTATATCTTACATATGTAATGATTTTGCTGATTCACTCCCGTACAAATTTCCAACGTCGAACGGGCGTATAGAAGTATAACTTCAAAAAATGTTTGTGGAAGATAAAAATAAAAAACCAACAACTCGGATTATGTTGTAAATTTTCATTTTATTTTAAAATGTCTCATTTTTGCGTGTATTACATATATTTAATAAGATTAACGTGGGGTTTAAATATTTCAAAAATAAAGAAGGAAATTCATATTGGGATTCGAACTCACATATACCAGCGTGTGAACAAAACACGCAAAAAATTTGCCAATTAGACATGAAAGTAATGTATTTCAAAATTGACAGTTCTCGGTCATACAGTGATTTATTGTAATTATTATTTTGAAATACAAAAGACTAAAATAATTATGAACATTTAATAAATAATACAAAACATCACATAAATAATAATATTAATAAATATTAAATATATTTACAAAAGGAACATTTTTATTCTCGAGAGAGAAAGAGAGAAAATATATCTTCTGTCTCTCTCTTACCTATATCTTACATATGTAATGATTTTGTCGATTCACACCCGTACAAATTTCCAACGTCGAAAGCGCGTATAAAAGTATAACTTCAAAAGTTTTAATGTATATTTATATTTAAGTATACAGTGATGAGCTCGCTAATAACCGACAGAATAACGCAAAAGATGAAAAACACATTAAGTTATGAGATAAAAAGAAATGAAACTAGTGGAGGTGGAAGATTGAGCGATAAAAAACATATAAATTTACATTATACTTATTGTTTCCCACCTTTAGACGTATTGGACGAGTTTGGTAACTGTCACTGAGACAGTGACTGTTTTAGTTGACATATTCTTCTGATACGTTAATAATTTTTATCAAGAATTGTGTTTATATGTTTTCAAAGATATATAAGCAAAATGAGAATATCTACAATTACAGTAGAAATAAAGATTTCAACTAACACCTAATTCGAATTAAGTACTTACGATATACTCAGAGTTACTATTATCACTAGTATCACTCGTATGATCAAAATGTATAGTTAATTTGGTTAATGCTGGTAAATATTTAACATAGTCATTTTCCACTCTGATCACATGTTTTATTACATTTTTCCAATTGGTTGCTGTGATTTTTGTGACTTCTCTTCTAATTAAGAGAACAGTAGACGAAAATTTAGAAGCAACGTTTTTTCTCCTTATATTTCCTTTCAGTTGAAGAATTAACTTCTTCTTCTTCTCATATTAACTCTATTGGGTTCAATGTACAATAATAAAGAGGAAGTCTAAGCACAGTATGCCCATTACTACCAGCACGGTTTTCAACAACATATTCCTTTTTAGTATGATGTCTCAAAATACAAATCTTCTGTAAATAAAAAATTCTGAATTTGTAATTTATTCCAACTATTATTTGGAGTATTTTTCATTAATCTTGAATGATATGATGGGTTGTCTATGACAATCACACTATGTTTAGGTAATTTCGGAAGAAGAAATTTTTCAAACCATGATTCAAAAATTGAACTTTCCATATCGTCATGATAATCTAGAGACGCGTCTTTAATTTGTTTTGCAGATATTAAGGCTGTTTTATCGGTACACCAAAACCTAGATACAGTGTTTTCTCTGTTATTTACCGACAAAATATCTCGAAATTTGGACACGTTATTCAAAATTATGTTGCCTTTAAACTGATGGTTTTACTTTTTTATTTTTTTTTGAAAGTTCTTTTGAAATATCGGATTATACAGTTTAACGTTCTATTATAACCAAACTTTTTACGCCCATCACTTGAAAGAGTTTTTTTTTCTGTAATCGTTGGTTTTTTTTTCACCTTTTTATGTCCAGTAATAATCGAGAAAAGCGTGTTCAAACTTTGAAGAAAATTGCTAAAAAATACTGAAATCTAATGGTGAAACGTGTTACTCATCATTGGCATTTAGTTTCACCGTTATCGGCTGCGTGACGTCAAATCTCATGAACGTACGGTCAGATAGTATGATTTGAAATCAATTTCATTCTATAACTGCGAAATTGTTTATTTGTTTGTGACAACAAATTGTATTTTTTTTTGATAATAATATTTTTATGTTATTTTAAATTTATTATAAATAAACACCATGATGTTTTTTGCAGTCACGTTTCACAAATTTATATTCAATACTATATTTAGCTAAGACATATAAATTAAAAATGTGATAATTATTTTTAAAACATCTACGATAATCAAACAAAAAAGGTATTCCCGACAAAAGTAATTTGAATGGAGAATAATGCATTTGTTGTCATTAAACCACCCGCCGACCGGCGCCACTGCGAAAACAGCTGTACCCGTCGTCGGCTGGCGTAAGCAGTGAGGAAAAGTAAGTGATACGCCCATTTCAAATCGCAGTGTGTTTTGACTGCTAAAACAGCCTTAATAATGCATCGTCGATCCATCCATTTTGTCCACCGCAGTGTAAAATTATAATCCTCTTTCCTTTATTGGGCGGTACTGAGTTAAAACACTTTTTGTTTTTGTCTTGTCTAACCTTTTTCACGGTGTCATGAGTATCATACCAGATCTCATCTAAATAAACAATATTTCGTTTCATTTTTCGATACTCAGTTATATGTCTGATATAGTTGTTTCTTAAAGAAATTATTCTATTACTTTCCATTAGTGTCTAGCTTGTCTATAGTTTTGTACTTAAAATTATTGGCTTTAAGAAATAATCGAAGTGTTTTTGCCCAACATGAGAGTATGTCCTTTCGAACTGACTCACTTCGAAGGCTTTCAATAGTTGGAAACATATTAGCCGCATACATTTGATATATTGTTCTAGTTATAGGTTCAATTAAGTGCAGTTCTATTTTTCTGAATTTGCCACAATGCTTTCTCTTCTGTCTAGAAGAAGACGTTTCTTCTATAATCTTGTAGCAGGTTGCTTTGGGCACTCTGGTTAAAAAACATGTTTCTGCAATTACCTCTGATTTAGACAATTCAGTACACAGTCCTTCATAAACATTTTTCAGGATACGTTTGGCATCATCAGAAAGGTATTAAATGTCGCTTACGTTTTACTACACGCCTTTGTAAATCTTTTAATTAATTAGGAGGGTTCCATTATCTCTTCAGCTACAGAATTATTATCGCACCACCACGGACGTAATTATCAAACGTATAAAAACATAATCACGTAAAAAAGTATCAAAAAAAGTATAAAACGTAAAATGTAAAAAGTTTTCCGTAGAAAAAACACAAGTCACGGCCAAACTCACTTGCAGTTCACTATTTGATATTTGAATTTAACTGAATGCTGTAGCAGTTCTTGTTATACTAAAAGTATTCTTGTTTCCCAAAAATCAGTTGGTCATATCTGCAATTTAAAAATAAAATTGTTCTCCGTCCCGTGCCTTCGACACTGGACGGTCGAAACCTGATACCCTATTTTATGACTCCGTAAGCTCAGACAAATACTATTACAATCTTACCTCAAGTCTGAATAAGTCTACCGACAAAACATAACGCATTATGATTTGTCATAACAGCGATATCCTATGATTTCATTGGCCGTTGATGCAGGTTTACTTATTAACAGTTCGATGAAAACTTAACTGGTTGACTGCCCATATTTTAAAACCAGGCACGTCTGAATGTTAATATCGAGTGGACTCTTAAAACTTTGTATTATTATACGTCTGAGTCATTGATAATTTTACAGAATTCTGGTAGAGTACTTTTTCATTGCCTGATTTTGTTACAGATACATATATTTTTACACAGTCTCACGGAAATACAGGCTACTGTATTTGTTTTTATTTTGTTTATTAGATCATTCATTCGTATTAAGTTTTATTACTTTTTATTTTTCGATGTAGCATAAACAAATTTTAATTTTTTTTTAATTTTAGGTTTTTCCCAGAAGATATTGTTGGAAATGGATATTATGAGAGCATTACCTGAACATTCATGCAATAAAGAACAGCACATAAGCCCGAACTCTGGAGAAACAAATTTAAATAATTCTATTTGTTTTAAACATCGCTCTCAAAAACATAAGTCAAATAAACAGTTGGAAGTTCTGAACGAAAAACGAGTTTTCAAATGTGAAATTTGTTTTAAACAGTTTAGTATGTCACGTTATTTGAAACAACATATAATAACGCACAGTGAAGAAAAACCTTACAAGTGCGAAATTTGTTTTAAGCAGTTTCCACGACTAGGTGATATGACAAAGCATATGAGATTACACACTGAAGAAAAACGTTACAAGTGTGAAATTTGTTTCAAGCAATTTTCCCAGAAATTTAATTTGGACAGGCATTTTAGAACTCATAGTGGAGAAAAACCTTACCAGTGTGAAATTTGTCTTACGCAATTTAGTGAAAGAGGAACTGTGAAAAAGCATATGAGAGTGCACACTGTAGAAAAACCTTACCAGTGTGAAATTTGTTTTAAGCACTTTAGTGAAATAGGAAGTTTCAAAAATCATTTAAGAGTGCACACTGGAGAAAAAGCTTACCAGTGTGAAATTTGTTTAAAGCAGTTTACTCGAGCTTATGACTTGAAAATTCATTTGAGAATGCACACTGGAGAAAAACAGCAGTGTGAAATTTGTTGTAAGCAATTTAGTAAAGCGGGAAGTTTGAAAAAACCATTTAAGAGTGCACACTAAAGGAAAACCTTAGCAGTTTGATTTTTGTTTTAAGCAATTTAGTAAAACGGGAACTTTGAAAAAGCATTTGAGGGTGCACATTGAAGAAAAATCTTTCAAATGTGAAATTAATTTTAAATAATTTAGTCAATTGGAAAATTTGAAAAGGCATTCGACCATGCACACTATAATCGGTTCACAATTTGTCGATTGCTCACAAGTTTAACCCTAATTAGAGAACTGAAATACAGAGAGGATAGGTAATACGATAGGTACAATGATAAAAACCAACCTGAAACTGACGGTTTAAGATGTTTTCGACTAACCCACCTTGTATCTGAAGGACTACAATACAGCAGTCATCGTATAATCCGATTACTTTGGTTACAGATGACCGACCAGTGTTGTAGAGTATATGATTGAAACATTTATTTGAACTAAATAAATATACTTTTTAAATTGTATTTTTGTTTTATTAAAACTTCTTTATTTTATTAAAAAATAAAAAGCTTATTGCCATTTGTAAAAGATACATTTATTTAATTAAGGGGAAAGGCGCCAAATGTCGCCTAGCAAAATTTTCAATGTGTTTTAAATGTATCCATTATTTTCGAATCCAGAGAAAACTAATAAATATTTTTGAAAAATTTAAGCGCAGAATGAAAGATTTCACTATTACTGAGGGCAGAAAGTCCCTGAAAACTTCTACAATGTTTATTTTAATATGTTATGTAACAGGGGTGAAAATAAAAGAGAAAATATAGTATAATTTTTAATTGAAAATATTGCATGCAAAAGAAACTTTATTTATTCTAATAAATATTTCATTCTGCCTTTAAATTTTTGAAAAATGCTTTTTAGTTTTCTCACGATTTGAAAAAATTGATGCACTTAAAACACATTGAACATTTTGACAGGCGACATTTTGCGCCTTTCCCCTTTAATATCTTACGATTACAACTACTATTACTTACCTTATATAATTACGATTAGAAAACTATTCAAATTCAAAATAAATAGGATCAACATAGGAATCCGAGTCGTCTTGAGGGTTAATAATTAGCGGTTGTGTCTACGGTCGCATCAATTATGTTATCAAGATCCCACATTTTTGTTCTTCTATTACATGTCTTACTGCATCTTTCCAGTTTTATTCTGTAATATGTTGTAAAGACTCGTATAACAATTCATGTACAGCTTGTATTTTATATGACGTATTTTTTCTAGCCACATAACTTTTCATTTGTGCCCAAATGAGTTCAATTGGATTTATGTCGCAGTGGTAAGGTGGAAGTCTAAGGACTGTGATGTATCGCATTTCCGCCATTTTTTCAACTACGTATTTCTTGAACTTAGATTTGTGTTGCCGGGCAATTTTTTAAAGTTCTGCTTTTACCATTCCATCTTCGTAAGGCAGATACTTATTCCGCAGCCAGTCAAGAATATCCTGTTTCATCCACGCAGTCGTTGGAAGTCGTTCTACTAGTCGTGAATGATAAGGTGCATTATCTAATACTATAATTGAATTTGATGGAATGTGTTCAATCATCTGCTCGAAATACTCTTCGAAAACATCAGCTGTCATCTCCTTGTGATAGTCTTTTGTGCTTTTGGACTGAAATTCCAACAAACCATGCTTAACAAATCCTTTTTTACTGCCAATGTGATAAATTATTAATCTACTGCCTTTATCAGAAGGTAGGGAGATGTCAGTAGACCAACCTTCCATAAAGGCTTGCCTGGAGCTTAATATATTTTTATCTGACCAAATTTTTTTTAGAGTATGACCTGAGTTTACCCACGTTTCATCCTGGTAGAAGATTGGCGTTCCTTCAGTCCAGAATTTTCGTATGAATCTTAGATAATTTCTTCTCCAACATAATATCTCCTCCCGGTCAATCAAAAGTGATTTTCGGTCTGATTTCTCCCATCGGAAATGTAATTCTTTTAAAACTTGCCACAATTTAGTTCGTTCGATATAAGGCAAATCCGGGTCGTCTCTAACGTCTTGTAAAATTTTGTTTAGGTTTGGTATTTCTTTTATTCGAAAAAAAAAATCCA